AGGACCACGAACGCGAAGCCAGAAAATAGCAAGGCAGCCCAAAATCTCAAACCCCTCTGCAACTCAGACTAACCTGAGCACAACCAAACAGAACACTCCCCCAGCCAATCAGAGCACAGCCAAGCCCCTAACCATTCAGAACACACCTCCACCCAATCAGAACACAGCCAAGCTCCCACCCAATCAGTTCATACCCCCACTGGCAGTTAAAAGGAATAAACAGCTAAGACCACACATTGCTGCTCAAAGCACGAAGCTGAAAGCACCAGCCTGAAGATGACGAATGGGACTTCGTCGAAACGTCGCCAAGACACTTCCAATTTTATGTGGGAGAAAACCCGAACAACCAAAGACCTACATACAAATACCCGCGAAAACCTCAGAAATATATATATATATATATATATATATATATTTGTGTGTGTGTGTGTGTGTGTATGTATTTATATATCTGATATAAATAGATTGGGGAAGGGAATAGGGATGAAGGAAGAAGAAATTATTGTGACATGGTTCAGAATGCACTAATAAATGAAATAAATATGGCATGAGGGTGCTCACACTGTATCTATAGGCAACGACTTAAAGCAGGTGTGTCTTTCCCCAGGATTGTGCAGCTGCACAAATATCAAGACACAATTGGTTTAAGGAGTTGCCCAAATGTTCTGCCTTAAAATATCTTCTTCCTTGTAGCCTTATAGTGCTGCGTAGCATATTCTCCTTCCCCCTTTAAATGAGATGTAGAGGTTTTGTTCTGGTTGAGATCCATCTGTATCCAGACAGAAGGAATTATCCAATTAAATCAATGACCTTTTTCTTGGAACATATCAGAATAATGTACAATTATTATTCAGTCTCTTTCTTGCAGAGAGTACAAAAGATGTGCCCAAATGGAAAAATAAAATACAAAATGCAAATAAAGAATTGACCAAACAGATCTCAAAATGATTCAACAAATCTGTAGCTAATATGTCTCCTCACAGGTACAAGAATGTTCAGGCATACTGTAATACTCCTTTAGTTAAGACAACTCTTTACCACAAATAACAAATTCCCAGAAGCCTCAAAGTCGTATTGCTTACAAAAAAACTATCCCTTGAGCTTGTATCTTGGCATTCTTTATTTCAATGTATAAACTAGTCCAGTACAATTTGCCTCATATACAGCAAGTTTAAAAATGGTGACCATAGAAATATTTACTTTTTTTCTCCCATTTTTAGGCAAGCATTTCAAATATTTCTATACTGCTAGTTATTCAAATGTCTACGGAGATTTTCAGTCATCCAGGTTATAGTTATCCCAAAGATGCTTTTTTTTTTCATGAAGCAACTGGGCTTTCTTGTTTTTCTTTGAAAACGTTTTGCTTCTCATCTAAGAAGCTTCTTCAGCTTTGACACGATGGTGGGGAATGGAAAGATTTATATTCCTTGCAGACAGATGTTCATTTGCATTCTTTTAGTGAGTCATTAATGTTACCTGGAGGTTTATCTGTGTTCTCAGGGTCATTTGAGTGGTTCAAATGTGTGTGGAGACTTCTTGGAACTATTGAAAGGACTGTGTTGTAGACTGGAGATAGATGATGTCGTATCCCTCCCTCTCTGTTGAGAGGGGACTGTTCAGTTTTGACATAGATGGCCTTTGACATCTTTGACCTTTCTTTCAAACCAGCGGTCCTCTCTGTCCAAAATGTGAACTTTGCTGTCTTCGAAAGAGTGGCCTTTGCCTTTTAAATGTAGATGGACTGCTGAATCATGTCCTAATGGGTTTGTTCTCCCATGTTGTGCCATACGTTTATGAAGTTGTTGTTCTGTTTCCCCAGTGTACAGATCTGCACTTGGCTCACTGCAATGTACTGCCTATACCACATTGCTCGGTTTGTGTCTGGGTGTTTTATCCTTGGGGTGGACAAGCTTCTGCCTTAGTGTATTCTTGGGTTTGAAATGGGCACATATGTTGTGTTGACCGAAGATCCTCCTGAGCTACCGTCACCACATTTGTACTGTAGATGGATCATAAGCTTTCTAATGATCAGGAAGCAGCAGGTGAAGCTAGGGAAAATCATATTGAACCTCTGTTCAATTAACACAGGAGCCCCCCAGGGCTGTGTGCTGTCCCCATTACTCTTCTCACTCTATACCAATGCCTACATCTTGAAGGATCTCTCTGTTAAAGTACTGAAATTTGCAGATGATACAACAGTCATTGGTCTCATTTGAGATGATGATAAATCTGCATATAGACAAGAGGTAGATCAACTGGCCCTGTGATGCAGCCAGAACAGTCTGGAGCTGAACATTCTTAAAACTGTAGAGATAATATATTTTAGAAGAAGCTCTCCTATTCTACCACCTCTTACAATATTAAGCAACACGATATCAACGGTAGAGACCTTCAAGTTTCTAGATTCTATTATCTCCAAGGACTTGAAATGGACACCTGCCATTAGAATCATCATTTAAAAGTCACAGCAAAGAATGCATCAACTCAGAAAGCTCAGATTTCCCCAATGATCTCCTGATACAGTTCTACAGAGGAATTACTGTCATTTGTACCTCAATAACTGTTGATTTGACACAGCAACCAAACAGGAGAGGTATAGACTTCAATGGATATTAGGATTACAGAAAAAAACAGTCGCGACCAGCCTGCCTTCCATTGAGGATCTGTATACTATATGAACCAGAAAAAGGGTTAAGAAAATATCTACAGATCCCTCACATCCTGGACATAATCGGTTTCAGCTTCTCCCCTCATGACGCTGCTATAGAGCATTGCATGCCAAAACAACTAGACATAAAGATAGCTTTTTCCCTGTGCATCACTCTGCTGAACACTTAATTTCCACAGCACCTATTACTTGCTGTTTATATGTACACTGTGAGCTTATGCACCGGAGACAAATTCCTTGTGTGTCTGATCACACTTGGCCAATAAAGAATTCTATTCTATTCTATTCTATTCTATTCTATTCTATTCTATTCTATTCTATTCTATTCTATTCTATTCTATTCTATTCTATTCTATTCTTTATTGGTATAAAGGGATAAATCAGTGCACCAGGGTTCTATTGAATTTCCAGTTTATCCACACTAGTTTATTTGATGATATAAAGATACAGTTTTCCCAGATTGTCCTTGTTCATATGCACATATTCAATTTTATTTCATTTTTTAAAAACTTTTTGTGGGTTTGAATTTTTTTTATGAATCTCTCTTTCTTTTTGTAGAAATATAGATTTTATAGATGGCCCACTTGGGGCCTTTTCTCATAGTTGTACTGTCTCATAGTTTATATTACATTCATGTTTTGACTTCCAATAACACAGGTTGCCATCATTGCCTAACTTAGTGTGGGTTTTTTTTCTCTCTGCCTTGAGAAAAAGAGCTCTTATATTAGAAAATACATCAAATGTTTTCATCCAGCAGCCCCATTTATGATTGTTTTTTTTAATTAAAAGACAATATATTGTAGAAGGACAGTAATCATACCAAATACTAGGCAACTTCCAAAAAGAAGCTAAAATAGAGAGATATTTTCAGGCAACTATAGTCAGAAAAGATTTTGAGATATCTGTCCCTGATCTAAGTCTGGATGTTCTTTTAAGAAGAGTAACACATAATCAGTCAAAATATTTAAGAGACAGAGTTATGGACATGAATATGCCTGGATTGCCCATATCCTAAGGGCAAATCTGAAATCTTAACACTTGAGCAGTGATGAGGCAGGGCTTAGATTTGGGCTTAGATTTTAGTTGAGATTTTTCACTAATAAAAAAGCAGAGTTTCTTCTGTAAGGAGACAATACATTTTGCAGTAATGGGTGATTAAGTGAGGATACTTGGCAAGCACTTTTTGCCCGTTGAATGGTACTAGTAATATTATAAATATTGTCATAAATGCTCATTGCTTTTGCTACTAACCAGTAATTCAAAGTGAAATTTTATTTTGAAATAAAGTATAAAGTATAGATAAGGAAAAAATACACACACATGAATGTGTGCACTACCTGCTTGTCAAGAATCTTCTACTTGGGTATTTATTATTTTTACTGTGATATAATTTAGTGTGAAATAAAATTGAGTCTGAATTTTACCTCACTGCAATTGTGTCAGTCAGGTTACTATTAAAATGATTGGCAAATCATTAATATTTAATATATATTAATATTCTTTGTTCCCAATTGTTAAATTTGTAGGAACAACAATTCACAGGAAATTGTAACTCAGCATTCTTATATTCTTTGCATGCAGCCAGAATCATACCGTAAATTCTGCCAGAATTTCATAATCTAACCAGAGGGGAAAATGAATTTGGGATTTTAAAAATATAAAATATATAAGCATACATCTAGATTAGTTCAATCCCACACTGAAATTACAGCATTTTCCTTTAACTAGATCAGTGGTTCTCAACCTTTTTATACCGGCGACCCTGGTCATAAGGACGCGCGACGCATGCGTGCCGCAGTGCGCACATGCGGCGGCGCCCCGTGCGTGGTGCGCATGCGCGGCACACCCCCTTGCATCGCCCCATGCGCGGCGCACATGCGGGGTGCGGTGCACATGCGCGGTGCCGCCAGCTGAGAAAAAAATGGCGGATCGCATTGTTTGGCGACTCCTGTGAAATGGTTGTTCGACCCCAAATGGGGTCGCGACCCACAGGTTGAGAACCACTGAACTGGATTGTCTTCTGTTACATAAGAAATGGCTTTGAAAAATTTTATTTATTTATTTATTTATTTGCTTGCTTGCTTGCTTGTTTTTGCTGTGTAGGAACTAAGAATGTTTTTCATTTTTAATTTTTCATCTCTTCCTTGATTGTGGATAATTTAAGCTTTATAGTTGCTGTGGTTTGATCCTCAAGATAATCTTCATTCCAGTGATAAAGTTGAATATTGAACTTGTGACACATCTAGTGAAATGCAGCTTTTTGATGTAGATTATTTTGCTCTCTGTGGCTGGTTCTTTGGTATAAAGTAGCTGTTATTTATCACACTGACAGGTGCAACTACTGCGAAATGCTGGCGATGAAGTTGCCATCTCCGTTCAATACCTCAGGGAAGCACCATCATTTCTAAAGCTCCCATTGGGTAAGGGAAATTAACAGATATCTGTAAAATATTTTCTGGTACAACATTTCTCATGACAAATAGACACTTCTTCATAATACATCTTTCATGAGTATTTTATTTAAGGAAAGCTTGTAGATCAAAATGCTGTATTATTTAAAATTTATCTTTGCCCCCTCCATATTTCTTTATTGGTTTATAGCAATTTGTAAGCTGCCAGCTGACTAGGCTGTGGCTGGCGTAGCACATCTAAACTGATTCCCTGGACTGATATTCTGTACAGGTAGTCCTCGGCTCATGACTACAATTGACCCCAACATTTTTGTTGTTAAGTGAGACATTCGTTAAGTGAGTTTTGCCCCATTTTCTTGCCATAGTTGTTAAGTGAATCACTGCAGTTGTTACTTTATTTTAGTAACCCGATTGTTAAATGAATCTGGCTTCCCCATTGACTTTGCTTGTCAGAAAATTGCAAAAGGTGATCACGTGATTTCAGGACACTGTAACCGTCACAAAGATGAATCACTTGGCAAGCACCTGAATTTTGATTGCGTGATCATGCTGCAAAGGTTGTAACTGTGAAAAATGGTCATAAGTCACTTTTTCAGTGCTGTTGTAACTTTGAACAGTCACTAAATGAACTGTTGTAAGTCGAAGACTACATGTATAACCAACATATACAGACATACCTTAGTATAGGTGAACCAATACCAACATCTTTTTTTCTGGTGACCAGAACTGGATGTAGTATTCCAAATGTGGTCTCACCAGTGCATCATAAAGCAGTACTATCACTTCATGTGATCTTGAAACTATCCCTCCGTTGATGCAACCTAGGAGTGTGTTAGCTTTTTTGGCAGCTGCAGCAAACTGCTGACTCATACTTAAGTCGTGGTCTACTAGGACACCTCTCTCACAGTTGCTGCAGTTGAACCAAGTACCACCTAGTCTATGCCTGTGCATTAGTTTTTCTTTCCTATATGTAGGCATGCAGTTTCATCAGCAAAAGCATGCAATGTTCAAGTTTCCATAACCCAAACTAAGCCAGCCCACTAGTCAATTAGCACATACTAAGAGAATTTTAAGCAAATAGGCAACTCCTACCATAGGGCATTCCTTACTTTGTCCATGTAGCATGTTTTTTTTCTCCTCCTGGATACCTAGTAAGTCATCTGCTGTAAGCACTGGGCTGTAGTTGCCAATTTAGAAATTAGACATTCTTGGAAATAAATGTCAATGTCATCCAACTGAAGTTTTTGAAAGACAGTCTTAGCATGACAATACACTAGCATAAATCATAGTTTCTCAACCACTGCTCTATTCTCTGAAACAGATAGAAATTAATGATAACTTTGTCTGCATGCATTGAAAAAATAACTTTTACCATTTTTAAAAGATTAGAAATACTAACAATGATGCTATTTGCTCTTACTTTGGGATTTTGAATAGAGGATATACTAATGTCCACAAACACTTCACTAACAGCCTGGATGTTTGTTTGTTTTTTAAGTGTTGTAGCAATACTCTCCATGAAAAAATAGAATAATATTTATGTCAAGACTTTTATTTATTGGCTGAAGACCATGAAAAGCAGGAATATACTTTTCCTACAATAAAAGGGTTAGTTTATAGAAATACTAGAGAACAGGTCTTTTTAAAAAAAAAAAAAAGAAGAAGAAGAAGAAGAAAAGAAGAAGAAGAAAATGGAGTATTTCTCCTCTGAGAGGGACAGCTGCCATTCTAGTTCTTATTTGTAAACAATAATCTAGAAAAATTTCGGGAAATTGAGGGAGGCTGCAAGATTGGTAGGAGGGTCATACCTATTCTGTATCAATTTTAGTTTCATTTAGTCATCAATCTGTCCAATCTAGCATAATGACATTTTTTTTAAAAAAAGTAAAGTAAAAATTATTTTCATGTAGAATTTTCTTAAAATATACTCTCTAGTTAATCACTATCTCTTGCCCAATTTCTCCAAATATCCTTGCAACATTGTAAATATAGAATATTTATTTTATTTATAGGTTGTATATTTATTTATTTATAGGATGTACGTTATATATATATGGTTAGCAGCTGACTATGTGACTTATGTACATGTGAATTTATGCCATGATATGGAACATATTATCATTTATGGTGGACATGCCCAGTTGCGAAAAAATACTGGACTACAATAAGAAGATGGATCGAAGAAATAATAGACCAACCTGTAGACTAGAAACCAGAGATCTTTTTGCTGGGTATTTTAAACAGAAAATATAGTAAGAAATACGGTACTTAATTTTACATATAACAACGGCAGCAAGAATAGCATATGCACACTTCTGGAAAAATGAGAATATACCAGCAGAGGAAGAAGTGATAAGAAAAATCCTGGACTGTGCTGAGATGGACAAATTAACAAAAGAGATAAAAGAAAAGGAAGACACAGAGTACTATCTAATATGGAACAAGTGGTATGATTGGTTGGAGACTAGAAATAATAGAGGAGAATAAATGTGGAAAGGTCAAAAGTGGAAAATGTGTGTATAATAATGTATAGTAATAATAATATGTATGAAGGAAGAAAAATGTAAATAAGAAACAACGGGGCAATAAGGACAAATATCCTAAAAAAAAAATAAGGGGGGGGAAATGTAAATAATAGAAGATTACCGTTACGAAATTACTGTTAAAAAGGGGGGGATACTGTGTGTGTGTGTGTGTGTGTTATGTTTTGTTTTGTTTTGTTTTGTTGGTTTGAAAATAATAATAAAAAAAATAATTTATGCCATGATAGATCCATTGTAGTAACTTATGTCATATCTCTTGAAATTAACTTTATAATGGATTTTCCAGGCAACCTTGGAAGAAAATGCTGCATTGTGATTATTTCACTATAGATAAATATTTATAAATTTATACACCATTTCAATCAAACAAATATGTATACGAAAGTAACAGCTGCAGCCAATGCAGCAGTAAAAATGAAAATGCAATATAGTATTGTGATGATGATGTTATTCATTCAGTTGTCCCCAAGTCTTGGCAATTCTATAGGCTCCGTGTCTCCACATCTTCCAATCTTGTACTACTTCTTTGGTAATATTCTACAATAAAACAAATATTGACAGTTAAAAATTACAATTAATCCTTGGAAAACCTCCTGCAAAGTTTTTAATGAGCTTCTGCAAAGACTCGAAGGTATACTTCAAACAAACAAACAAACAAACAAACATCCTGTGCTCTTGAATTTGATGGGTGGAGTCTATATCTATAGCAATCTCAAAGATGCCCAGTCTGTCACATGTGATAGCTTCATGTGAATCAAGATTTTTAACTTTTATACTGCTCCAATTGTGAATCATCTTATGTATGCTTTTGATTGCTAAGGAACTTTGCTTTTGAATGCAATGATACTTTGGTCTCTGTAACAATCTTTGCATCAAATTCATTTTTAAGAATTGTATTCCAAGAAACATATAACCTAGGGATGTTAAACTGCCGGCCCTTGGGCCGGACGCATCACGCGGAAGCCACACCCACCCCATTGCCGGCAATGGCAAAACAGTCCCAATATGTTGCGCAACATCACATGACATCGCGAGTTTGACATGTCTGAAATAACCCATTAAACTGGGGAAAGATTGGTACTTAAAACACTATGAAATTTGATTTCTGCTGGAAGCTTTTAAAGCTAATTATGTTTCGTTGCAAAATACAGGAAAAATTATAAAAACAGTGAAGGATAAACAATACTGCAGTCTTTTCTCTCTTTTTAATTGTGAACAGATATACCTAAATTCTGAATTTAATTGTATGCATAAATTCTGAATTTAACTAAGGAATTAAAAGTAGCCTTTTGGGAAAAGTTCCATCATAAGGATCATTATCAATGTCAGATAGACCATTCTGCAGTATTGTATGAAAAACTTTAAAAATAATTCTTCAACTGCAAATCACTGGATATGTGTCAGGTATTTTGTTTGAGGTTGCTTGTAAGCAAAATTCAGTGATTTTAATATATCCTTTATCTAAGTTTAAAAATAAATAGATTTAGTCCCAATTGTACAGAATTAAGTAAATGCTGCAATTTTCACAAAAAGCCCCTTCAGATTATTTTTTTTCAAAATCCAGTTGTGAGAATGGCAGTGCAAATAGAAATCTACTATCCTCTTAGTGATTAAGACTGCAAAACAAATCGTCTGGCATGAATTTTCAGTACTGTGTCACTTTTGTCCTCTTCTCTCAAAACAGTTGTCAAAGAATGTATTCCAGTTGTAATTTGTCCAATAACCTTTAGTGTTTAGTACATTAACTTCTAGTATTCCAGTTGTAATTTGCCCAATAACTTTAGTATTAAAGTTGGAAGCCTGCAGTAGATGGGATATTCTGTTGAAGTGCTGACTATTTAGCTACAAGCTTCTTATTGAGTTTGAGCTACTATCTTGCTACATTTGCTGAGACTTTAGGATGGTTCATGATTGCTTATTTGGCAAAATAAATAAAAAAGAATATTAAAGAAAAATGAATCAGTAACAGATGAAAAGAAAGTGTAGAAACAAAGAAAAATAATTGCTTTTTGATAATATAGTTGCTGACATGCAATAATGGCATAAGAAGTCCCTTTGTAGAATTGACTTTTAATAGCAAAAGACGGAATACTTATTTCTTCCTGAATGGTTGCACCAGCTTCTGTCTTTAAAATGAGAGAGGACAGAAATAAAAATAAAAATATTTAATAGACCCATAGAGATGGAAGTGGCCATTTAGGGTAGCAAATCTAATTGCCTGCCCCATGCAGAAATCCAGATTAAAGCATCTTCTTCAATCTTGGCATGAGTATATCCAATAAATGAGAGTTCCTTCTTCCCCTTGTTAACTGATTGCCAAACTAGTCTTATCATTATGAAGTTTGCCTAACATTCAACTAAAATCTGTTTTGCTATAATTTAAACTTATTATTTCTTGTTCTGGCCTATGGAATGACGAAGAATCGGTCTTGGTCTTTTTCAGGGTTGCGTTATTTCATTTATTTAAAAAGTGCTGTTGGGTCTCCTGTTAACTTGATGAGATCAAAAATGTTGCCATAGTTCAATTACTCTTTATGGATTTAATTTCTGGACCAGTAGTGTAGAAATTAAGATGAAGTACTGGTATTTGGTATGTTTCCATAGGCTGATGTTAAAATTTGAGTTCTATAGTAAAAGGAATGTATACTATTAAACATGGTTAAGCATTTCAAACTCTGATTCATCAGCTTCACCACCAACTTTTTGTCTTTGCCTTAAGACATAACTTAATTAAATCATGCTTTTTGTTTGCTTATATAAACAAATCAAGTTGTTTACATGCATTGGATTTTCTTTCCTAAATCAACCTATGGTAATTGTTCTCTGATAAGCTCAAACTTAGAAGAAAATACTTCTTTTTAAAATACCCCATTTCAGGTTCCCCTGGACCTTCAAGTGATCACAGTAGTCGTGCTTCTTCTCCTCTCTTTGACAGTGGTTTACATTTAAATGGAAACTCAACAAATACAGTAAGTAGATTAATATTATTAATAATAACCTAGCTACGATGGCAGCACATAACTGACTTTGCCCTATCTAGAAAAAGCTAAGCAGGATCAGGCCTGGTAAATATGTGGATAGAAACCAATGTTGTAGTCTATATTGGGAAGTAAAAAAAAAAAAACAATAAGAAGGCAGTGGCAAAACTGTTCTGTAACTTGCCTAGAAAATTGCCTAAATGTGTCAATCTAAATCACCCAAACTTGAGCTGGACTCAAAGATGACTTTACTTTTGTTGATCGGCTTCCTAAACAAAATGAAACAACTTGAATTTTACTTTCTGTAACCGGCTTAGCTTATGATACAGAAAGGTAATAAGTATGGTGTGTCTAAAAAATAACTTGGTATAGCAGTAGCAGAGCCAGCAGTGGCTGCAAATCTATTAGCGAGTGTACATTATGAGAGGGTATTTTGTTGTTTAAAATAAATGATAAACTGTTGCCAAACGTACTGCAAAATATTTGGAGTGAAATAACATCATCATATTGCTTGCACCTATTTTCATTTGCATCAATGTCTTGAGACTGTTTCTAGGATATGAATCCTAAGAAGAAGAAAAAAAAAATGATGACCAGGATGTTCAGTGAGAAAGGATGAGTTTACTGAATAGATGGGATAATCAGCAAAATACAGACCCTTAGAGATCTCCTCTGTCCTATCCAGGCCAGTTTATCTTTGGATCATTTTATTTTTGTGAGTTGAACTCAGTGCAGAAAGATACTAAATTGGGACATGCTGCTTTAGGCTAGATACATTGTCTTTAGTCCTCATTTAGCAACCACAAATGGTTCCTAAGCGAATCACATGAAAAAGAAAGACAGACTCTAAGAAAATCGCTGGTTGCTGTTGCCTCATTTACATAAAAGCTGCCCAGACTCACTTGTTTTGTGAAATGAGTGGCTATATAAATTACGTAGGTAGGTAGGTAGGTAGGTAGGTAGGTAGGTAGGTAAGTAGATAGATAGATAGATAGATAGATAGATAGATAGATAGATAGATAGATAGATAGATAGATAGACAGACAGACAGACAGACAGACAGACAGACAGACAGATATCTCTTGTGTAGCAATGCCAGCATTCTCTCATTCCATTGTATGTTTCAGAAGCAGACATTTGGCTGTAAATGCAAGCATTGATCAAAAAAGGAATTTTTACACCATTTATTACAATTAATTATCATTATATTTTCAAATGTTTGATATCTGAGGCTGGCACTAAACAAGGACTACCTGCATATGTATATTGTGATGAAGTATTCTAAAGTAATGTGTTTGCAGTTCTTTAAAAATGTGCTTCTCTAATTTAAATCGTAACATACTGTAAACAGACATTATCATTGTATTGAGCTGCAAGGCAGAAAGAAAATATTTGTTCAGGCAGTACATACAAAGGCAAGTGCAATGAAGACCATCAGACTGTAAAGACAGATGCCTCTGTTATCTGATGTCACAGCTCAGCCTATAGAGAAAAATGGCTGCTCGCTGTGTACATATTTCTATTTTCCCTGGATGGAACTAGAGCGATTTGGAGCAAAACTGAAGAAAATGGAAGAGAGCAAAAGCATGCTGGTTATTTGGAAAAAGCCATTCTCTTTTGCTTCTCTGAAGTTGAATCTTCTGATGTGCTATACAACACTTCACACAAGATGCCTTATACCGTAGGTGGGCTACATGGTGCCAAGGGACAGGAATGCCAACAAAAGACTTTGTATTTCATCATACAAAAAAGTTATAAGGTACTTTTTTTAGATACAAAAAGGTTCCATCCAGGGAAAATTGAATATTTCTTCGAGAACAGAAGACATGATTCAAATGATTCAAAATACTACCTTTGTAAGCTGATTTGTTGAAAGCATAAATACAAAAATTTGCATTTACCAGATTAAACTGTGATCCCAATAGATAGATGAGATGATTAAGAAATGTTAATTAAAAACAATATACTGGTAGGATATTTTATTTCTTACCAGTATCTTTTCTCAACTACTCTGGCGTTTTCAAAGAACCATCACACCATCTCCTGCACTGCTGTGGTACTTGCGGAATATTAATACAAGGCATGGACTTAAGTCTTTTAGTTTTTCTTGATCTATATTATGTTTATGAGAATGTGGATGTGTGGTTGTTTTTTAATCTGCCTTTTTGAAAAATATGAAACAGTCTTACTAGAATGGAATTATTCACTTCTTTTCATTTTTTTCTATATATTGTAATTTTTTTCATTCAAAACATGCATCTGTGAAATAAAATCCATAGATAAAGAACAATACAGATTATCAGAAAAATGCTTTAAAACTGCATATATCTAGAAAAATTGTGAGTTTCTAAAGACCCAGCAAAAATAAGAGAAAAATAGAAAATTATTTTAGAAACACGACAGAAACATATTCTACTTCAAAAATTGAAGGTAAAAGCAAAGCAATCACTTAACCCTACATTTCAAGAGTTTCAGGTATGACACTGATGTCTATCACATTAAATGGATATTTAATTAAATAATTAAATAATCCTGAACTTCAAAAATTTGGTTGACAAAACTACTGCATGCAGCTGAGTTATTGCTTTCCTACAGCAGGGAGAAATCTGCTAAATGATTTTCAGATTACTTTACTGTAGTAATTTAAAATAGTAAATAATAAATACTTTCAGTTAATGTTTAATATAGTTTGATCATCAGACACAGTTTAGTATTTTTTAACATTTAAATATTTTTTTTGATAAAGTATAAGAACTAGAAGACATGAAGTACAACTAAAAATATAATATTGCTAATGTATTCAAAAAACAATATAAAAGTAGTGATTTAAAGAAGTGATATATGAACAAGCTAAAGATATAGCTATAAAGTATTAATATAGAAATAGTTAAATCTTGTAACATATTATTAAATCTAGTCATATGGACCATCTATTATTCCATCTTCTCAGTTTTAATATAGTAGATTATTTCAATACGACATGTAAAATACTTAGATTCTTAATATTGTTATTTAGACATCTTAGAACAATGAGTATAAATAAGTGAATAGTCTATCAATATTTTATCACTATTAATTACAGTTCGGGATATTTATGTTACAAGCAATATGATGATTTAACCTTTTCTTTAAATTAAATATAATATTGGAAATGAATAAAAATAAAGGAAAAGCATATCTCAGGATATTTTTTATATATAATAAGGCTTTTTGTCTCAAGCTAAATTAACTTAATATTAAATTCTCCATTTTATTTGTTAGGATGCGCCAAATTAAGTGTATAATTCAATACAGACAATTTAGAAAGCCACCTACTATATCAGCCCAATATTCAGTGCAATCTTGCAATTAGATATTTACTCACAAGAAATTGGCAGAATATATTTCCAAAAGTCAGTCAGTGTGATGGATATTATTTTATAGTACTACAAAACAGTTATTGCATAATCAGTAATAATGCTGTTATTTAAAGGTATTATCGAGAACAGTCAGTAATATTGAAGATGGTTTATGTCTACAGTACTGTAGTTATAATGTTCGATTGAAATGTTTGTACATTGACATGATATACCTCTGCAAATATTTCACCTTTCAAGCCTGTTGATCGTGTAGTTGGGTAGCAGTGAGGGGTGCAAGTTCCTGCAACTTGCACGTGCAAAGTTTGCCGCCCGGGTGTTTTGGCGCGCTCAGCAGCAATTCCTATTGGCTTTCGAAAGCCAATACGGGGAGTAGATGCAAAAGTTGAAAAAAAAATTAAAAAAGGTCCCAGAACGCCTTCTGAGCGTTCTATGAGGAAACAAAAGCCCTGCAGATTAGTCGTCAAAAAGAGGACATTTAGGAGGACATTTTCGAGAGAGGACAGAACTCACAAAAGGAGGACTGTCCTCCCAAAAGGAGGACGGTATATGGAAAAGGAGGACATTTAGGAGGACACTTTTCAAGGGAGGACAGAACTCAAAAAAGGAGGACTGTCCTTCCAAAAGGAGGACGGTTGGTCACCTTATTTATGTGCTTTTGTGACTTTGAGTTTTGGGATTTGTGCAATGAGGACTTTGTGTTGTTAAGGAGTGTTTGTCAATTTCTATTTGGCTGATGGCTGATGTCTTGTGTTAGCTTCTATTGCTCTGCTGTTGTTAGCTGTAAGTTTTGCTGCAAGGGATTTTGAAGTATTTTTCTCCTGAATGGATTTTGCCTGTAGCATTCCTTTACTTATGAATGGAGCCATTTGGGGAGGTTGCCTTAGCCGGCAGCCAGTACTTACATTTTTTTTTCTCTTCCTTAAATGCCTTTCTAGCCAGTAGCTACTTTCCTTTCTAGCCAGTAGCTAATTCTTAAAGGGGAATATGCCTTTTTAAGTTAGTTCACTCAGCAGCTTGTCTTTTCTGTCTCTGGAGGCCTTTTTTTGTTTGATCAATATATGGAAGAGGGAAAATATGGGGGGAGTTCAAATTCTTCCTTCAGGAGATGGAAATGAGAAAAAGGGAGGCAGGGAAGGGAGGAAGGAAAGGAAGTCCCGCCTTAGCACTTGGCCACCAGCAGCTCTGCCATTGACTTTGCTTGTCAAAAGGTTGCAGAAGGGGATCACATGACCACTGTGACCATTATAAATATGAATCAGTTGCCAAGCATCCAAATATAAATCACATGACCCTGGGCATGGTGCAATGGTCATAAGTGTGAAAAATGGTCATAAATCATTTCAGTGCAATTGCAACTTTGAACAGGTTTTTTTTTTTTTTTTGGTCATCAAGTTTTTGACACCTTGCTAGTTGGTACTCAAATATTGCCATATCCTAAAAGTGGTACAATCAGTAAAAAGGTTGAAAAGCCCTGGACTAGAGGAACAAGCGAGCAAGGAGAGACAATGTTTCTGCAGCTTTTTTTTCCCCACCTGAAGTTAAAAACTAAGTCATTACTAAAAGTTGGGCCAGAAAATGTAGGACATGGGGACTTTGCAGGCTTTTGCTGTGGGTTTGATTGTCTGTAGAGGGCAGTCTACAGTATAGCCTTTAAGTCCTAACTGGACTCTACAGGCAGTCATGCGGATCTAAAGCTTGTGAAGGCCTAGCATCCTCCATTTTCTGGCCCAACTTTTAGGGATTTTTTTTCCCTCTGTACTTCATGGGGGAAAACTGCAGAAAGATTTTCTCTCCTTGCTCGCTTAGTTCCTTTTCTCTTCAGCCTGGCGTCAAGGTAAGGTTTTTAAAAGGGATATTGGTTGGAGGGCAAATTTAGCTTTAGCACCTAATTGGGGCTGGGGTGGGGGAGATCAACAAGTTCTTCCTTCTCAGCTTTTTTTGTTTTTTTATTGAAGAAATGTGGCTGGGGAGGAGGGAAGTGATTAAGCAAGGGAAAGGTTTGGGGAGCTGGTTGTGAATCTGCCTTGTATGCAAAGGCCAGCTTCCCAAAGCCTAGAGAGGTAGAGCTTTGCAGCCTTGCAGCCTCCTGCTTGGGGCCGGCTGACAGGTGCAGAAAGCAGGGGTCCTGGAAGGCATGGGGGAAAACGCCTAAATGCTGCAGGGGATGGCGGGGAGAAGACAAGCAGGGAAGAGCACTGCAGCATCCTCATGGTCTGTCATAAGTGTGAATGATCACAGAAGTGCTGCATCTGTCATAACTTTGAAACAGGTTTTGGGGTGTCAGTTGTTGTTTTGAACGGTCATTAAATGGTCTGCCATTTCTCAAGAATTATCTAAATGTCTTATCCTTGGCTCTAAATAGTTTATTTAGGATGGCACCACACATCTTGATACATCTGGGACAAATGTTTATATGTGTAGTGTACACATAGGCCTTTGGCTTAGAGTTGAAATGCATCATAGAAAGTTGCTCTTTCCATTTATATAAAAGAGGATAGTAATGGGTCATGAACAAGGTTGGGATCAAAGAGCATAAGCTGTCAAGGTTCCGACTGATAGAACCAAGTAAATCAGAACTCCAAGGCACGAGATTTCCTCAGAGAACATGTTTATTGGATGTACTCATGTTTAGACTAGCAAAAATACCTCGTTCCCCCTCCCCCTCTTGTGGCAACCTAGAAAGACAAATATGGCTGCAGCCAGGTTTGTTGTAGAGTTGACATAAGCATTATTAAATAATATTTAAGATTTATGGTTGTAGTCCAAGAATAATTAGAATTAATAGGTTAATACAATTAATTTTGTACAAGGTACTAATATGTTATATTGATAGCATTTTGGAAAGCAGGGGACTAAAGTAAATAATTATAGCGGTGGGGAGGATAATGTAAATTTGGTGTATGGTATTGGAGGCCTTAGTTCTAAAGGAATATTTCAAAGTGCAAAGAGTGCAATGCTGGGTAACACAAATGTGAAAGGAGACTTGATATAACAAAGAAAAAGAGAAAGTTGGAAACTCAGTACTGATCTGTTTCTGAAGAAAGAGGCTTGGTGGTGGATAAACCAGGATTTTGTTCATCTAAGGATATTATTTTTCTCTGCATCCTATTAAAGACATTATTTCCCAGACCCAGTGAATCATAATTGTGCACTCTTATAATCTATCACAGTTTTGTTTGAAACTTCAAAGATCTTATCTGACATACCTTTTCATGTTCTGTAATGAAAGACTGCAACAATCCTGTAATTTTAATATTGGTATGATTGATTATTAAGGTAGTGTTTTTCACACGGAGCATTTATGAAACTGGGCCAAAGCTGGCCTTTTAGTTTTTTCTCTTTAGGCCTTTGAATATCCCTAGCCAAAATTATTTCTTGTTTTTACTGCATACCTTGTTGTTTCTTCAACAAGAAGAATTAACTAATAAGAGAGAACTTCTTTTTTTAAAAAAAATATCCTTGCAATCCTTCATAGCTTCAAGGGAAAAAAAGAGCAGAGCACAGCTTTTCAAATTGTTCTGTTATAAAAGAAATATATTCATTACCATGTCATGAGAGAGAACACTTAAAAAACAGGAATCATTCATTGAAAAGGTTTATTCTTTTCTGCAAGTTTTCCAAAATACGCACATTCAATTGTCATGCAGGAAATGAAGCAGGTCTTAGTAGTGGAATTCTAATGCTGCATCATGTTCCTTAGTCTACCTACCCATCCATAGAGAGAGACACAAACACACACACACACACACACACACAGAGAGAGAGAGAGAGAGAATATATACAGAATAAAGTCATGCCTATGTCAAGTAATAGTAATATTTAACTACTGTTGATTATCTGGATATATCTGTGTTATTTTGTTGGCAAAAACATGGACACAGTTTGCATTATTCTCTTCTTTTTTCAACTTCCCAATCTAGACTACAGCCTTGGGATTTCCAGGTCTCCAACCAGCCACTAACCAAACTGGAATCTGCTTAACTTTTTCACAATCAGCTATATCAAGATATGCTATGCACATTTTCTTTCCATTCTTTCAAATGTGGAAAAAGCAAGTTGAAATTTTGCAATCATTGTCATGCTAATGAAGAAAATAAGATGTTGAGAAGAAAATTCTGTCAATAAACCAACTTTCCAATTGGGTGTGAGGTTTATGTATTTAACAAAAATAATAATAACTGCACTATTGTACATTGAATAGAGAGAAATGACCCACCAATATTTCATGGTCAAAGAAATTGTTAGTTCTTCTATGCAATCTAAATTTTCCAAACAGTGTTATTACTTGTGTTATATTCACCCTAGAAAAATAGCATATCCACATAAAAAATATTTGTGTTTTTTACATAATGAGGTCTGTATTTACTGTTATTTTCTATTTATTCTGGTCAGGCACCATCATCACCTTCTTCACCCACAGCTAATGAACCAAAATATGAGAAGCGTTGGCTGGATACCTTATCAGTTCCTTTATCAATGGCTCGAATTTCGAGGTACAAAGCTGGAACAAATAAATTAAGGTTTGTAATATGAAAGTGAAAAGGTTAAACTACCTAACCTGCATCTGTTGTTTATTTGGAGATAGTGGATCTTTGTAAATATTTTAACAAGGTTTAGGCTTTCTCAGAAGATGTGCAATGAGCACCAATAGTATCTATTAAGCATATCAAGAAATAATTGGGCTTTATTCATTATATGAAAAAAAAAATGGCTAGTTTCTTTAGGCATCATACGTGAAAAAGATCAAGGAAATAAATTGCTTCTATACAAACTATGGACATTTTTGTTCGTTTAATGTAGTGATCTATTGAGATATAAAATATTATAAAGATTTCTGTTATAAAGATTTCACCAATGCAACTGACATATTTTGGAAGAACAAATGACTATCTTGGAAGATGGGATGAAAACTGATAGAAATTGTTTAGCATAAATTAGAACTTTCCCAGCTTGAAGTTTCACTCATTGGAAATGCATCCCATTAATTGTAGAAATCCAAGCAGGTCACAAGGGCATGAATGATAGTGAACAAGGCCTTTCAGTTCAGGAATGACTGCTATATTGGCATACAACCTGCAAATCATGACTGCCACCTGCTCTTCCAGTAGGAACTGTGAGTTCAAGAGGACCCCTGGATTGTGTATTTTAGCATCCTCATGTAGATTTTAAATAGGAAGGGAGAGAAGATCAAACCTCAGCTCTCGTCAAAAGTCTTCCACACTTTGCTATACTATGGTTCTTTACCAGTTCTGCTCTGCTCCAGCTCAGGAAGTCTTCCCTTTATTTCCTAGTTCAAATCTTTGATGTGAGAATCAGGAACAATGGAATCTTCCTCTGGTTTTCCAACAGGCTTGGCTTAGCATCTGAGACCCCAGATTCCTCAGCCTGGTTGTCTTCTGAAGGAAAATAATCTTCTCTCTCTCTCTCCCTCTCTCTCCCTCCCTCTCTCTCCCCCCCTCTCTCCCTCTCTCCCTCTCTCTCTCTCTCTGTCTCTGTGTGTGTGTGTCTGTCTGTCTGTCTCTCTCCCTCCCCCCTCCCCCCTCTCTCCCCTTCCCTCTCTCTCTTTCATGCACATTTATTAATGTGCATCAAGTTGGTATCAGTTTTTTGTATCCACATAGGAAGATTTTGTTTGATCTCTCCCTAACCTGCTCTTTCAGGTCTTATAATGGTGCACCCATCATCACTGTAACTATGTCCACCCATGCTGCTGGTGGTCATCTTCTCTTTCCTTCCAGCATCTTTTCCAGAGAGCTGGGTCTTTCAATTATGTACACACTCCAATTTGCCCTGGATATTTTTGCCTACCCTTTGAGTCACGCAACCATTCTTTTCAAGCCACATTCCTAAATAAATGTGCCTTTAATGCTTAGAGATGGAATAAATCAGAAATGATGGGACTTTAGATTTAATTTGAAATGGAACCCCAAAGCTAACATGAGTCATGCTGTTGTCAGACTAGAAATAGTAACTGAAAGAAGAATACAGTATTGTAAAATGGGAAATTTGCATAAAAGAACAATCAAAATGAACAGGGTGGTGAGTTAAAATAATATTCTTGTGAAGGAAGGCTACAATAGTTCGTAATATTCAGGTTATAAAAAAGGAAGTAAGAGAAAAATAACAAAAGTGTACAAAAGTATAACACAAAATATGTACTGCATATATTTGTAATTCACATTTCTAAAGCCATCCAACCTAACAACAACTTTGTGTAGTGTACAGATTTTAAAGAAAAGAAATGGAACAACCCTGGATACAAAAACAGAACAAAAGATAAATAGTCATCCCAGACCTTTCAAAAACTATACCTGAGAATTTAAAGATTTTAACTTGCTTTATTGTTTGACAATTTAATATGTAGGCATATATTCTAGGTCACTTGCAAAAATATGATTATTTCTTTTTGAGTACTGCTTCCTCAAAATAGTAAATATCTTATGCTCTCAATGTTCATATTCAATTGGCATTTGCAATAAGAATATTGCATCATTATCTGTAGAAGTAAGGTTGCAATGTGCATATTGATTAACTTTGTGGATAATGCTCTGAATTACTCATTTTGGTAACAGCAGAGTTGATTTGCAAAAAGAATATCAGGGAAACCAAGATACATCCCTATCTTATCCCTTTTCAGTTGGAATTTCTTTAGGGCAATGGTCTTGCATGCCACTTTTATTCTAGAGTTCTCATGGAGTTTGTACACTAGCAGAAGTGCCATTTGTCTATTGTAGCATTTTTTAAATTTGCCCCAAAGCTTTGTTTTGGAGACAAGGAAGACCTGAAATCAATAAATGCAGTGTATAATGTGAAATGTGGTTCTCCTTTCATAATCAGCTTAACATTTGTATAGAATGACATTGAGCCAGAGCAGAAGGCAAAATGATTAGAGTTTCTAACATTTTAAATACAGTTTTTATTCATAAATTCTGTGCTATCTGTGCCTATTATCTGACCCTCAGCTGATGTAATTTCTGTAAAATGGATTACTGTGTCCCCAAATTTTATCCCATTCTGATTATATTTGCTTCAGTGGAAGTACATATAGCCTTCATTTATTGACCGACTTGTTCACTGACCTTTCAGTTATGATAGTGATAAAAAGTGACTATATGACCAATTTCTTTTCTTCCTCCCTCCCTTTTTGCATCTTTAAAATGTTATTGTATTTTATGTTTTAATAAACCCTAATAAAATGAATCTTTTTAAAAAATGGCCAATCTTTGCATTTACAATCTTCCAAGGTCTGTAAAGCAAAGGAAACCTGAAGTAAGATTATAAGCCCAGTTAGGGCTTTACTTCGATGATGATGATGATGATGATGATGATGATGACGACAATAATAATAATAATAATAATAATAATAATAATAATAATAATAATAGTAAAGTTGGAAGGGACCTTGGAGGTCATCTAGTCCAACCCCCAGCTCAGGCAGGAAACCCTATACCATTTCAGACAAATGGCTCTCTCTTCTTAAAAACTTCTGGTGTTGGAGCATTCACAGCTTCTAGAGGCAGGTTGTTCCACTGGTTAATTGTTCTGTCAGGAAGTTTCTCCTTAATTCTAGGTTGCTTCTCTCCTTGCTTAGTTTCCACCTGTTGCTTCTTGTCCTGCCTTCAGGCACCTTGGAAAATAGCTTGACACCCTCTTCTTTGTGGCAGCCCCTGAGATAATGTAGTAGTAGTAGTAGTAGTAAAATTGGAAGGTACCTTAGAGGTCATCTAGTCCAACCCCCTGCTAAAGCAGGAAACTCTATACCAGTGATGGCAAACCTTTTAGAGGCCGAGTGCCCAAACTGCAACCCAAAACCCACTTATTTATTGCAAAGTGCCAGGGCCGCCTCAGCATTGTGGTGCCCTCAGGGGGGTGGGGAAGCGGCCCACTGGGCAGGTGTGGCTGCAGTGGTCACGGCAGACTGGATGGGCATGGCCACCTTGATGTTGCTCCTGGGGGGCTGGACAGGGTTCGGGGAGATCCAGGAGGTCTCTGGCAGGTGGGGCAGTGGGCAGGATGCTTGTCCTGCGGGGTGAGGAAAGGGGCAAGGCGGGGTGCCATTGCAGTGGGGCAAGGCAAGGCAAGGTAGGGGGCAGGGTGACTGCTGCCTGACACCATTGGGCCCCGCACATAGAGGCCAGCGAGCACAAGGGACCAACAGTGTCCATCAGCAGCCACAGCGTGCCAGCCCCTCAACCGGCACACTCTGGGGCTCTGCAGCCCACTGCCAATATCAGGCCAGCCCTCCAGCAGCAGGCAGAGTAGGGAAGGCAGGAGGCACATGATGCAGATCGCTGGATGCGCCTACTCTGCCATCTGTTTTTACTTGCGGTTGGAGAGCAGGTCGCTGCTGGTCATCTCAGCCCCCTTGCAGATCCTGCCACCAGCCCGTGTGTGAAGCCCGTTCCCCTTGTGCACCCAACACACCTTGGCCCCACCTTGGGCAACCGCCAGCAGCTTGCGCAGGTCAACCAGGTCGCCATCGCCACCCGGAGCGGCAGTCCTGCCCAGCACAAAGGAGGTGAAGTGCCCGGCCAGCAAGCCTGAGCAGAGGCGGTAGAGCACGCCCATGCCCAGCAAGCCAAAGGCCAGAGTTATGACAGAGTTAAGCAGAGTCTGTTCCAGTTGTGGTTACTAAAGGAAGACTACCTGTATGTACATATATATTTTACTAAAATGACCAAAACATAGAGTTTTTGTGTTCTCTAAGCTTGGTTGTTTGTTTTCAAATGTTTCACTACCCAACAAGGTAACATTAGTGAGTAATGAAACATCTGCAAGCAAACAACTAAGCTTGGGTACTACCAGGAAGTCCACAGTTCTGTAGCCTGAGCTACAGTTAGTTTCTTCCATTGTGACCATTATAACATTTGTTTATTTACTTACCGCCAACTCTGCAAAAATAAATTAGTTTTAGTTCCCATTCTAAAGGCAGCTTCCTAGTTTCCCAAGCAGGAGGTAGCTTCAAGATAAATGTTTACACCTCTACATTCTTTGATTTTATTCATAGCATAGTGGCATAGAATATATAATCACTTGGTTTGCTATAGCCATATAATATTAAATTATATTAATTAATTTCATCAAACCATCTAATCAATGTGTTCCCAAAACATTGTTATTTGCATTTATAGATTCTCTATAAATTCTCTTTCTCTTTATATTACACTATATTTAAACTGAGTAATATAAATATTTCTTTAATTAAACTTAAAATTTAAATGAGCTAGTGCATGTCTGTTTTAAAACTCTTACCAGATTTCATTTCACTGACAGCAAAAAACTACCAAACCCAGTTTTCATTAACAAATAATATTCATATGCAGTTGACCTAATGAATTTTCTCTCATTTCTTAATCATTACAATTTAATATAGAATAGTCTAAATCTGTGCTACTCTTCTGATGGCATTTTTCATTAACTAAACTGCATTAGTGAAAAAAGGTTTAGTATCTCATACAGAAGATACAAGAAGATACATTTTACAACTCAGGTTGTAAAATATTCTAAGCCAGATATATAC